GTTTGGTGGTTCAAATCCATCAGCCCACCAGCCATCCACAGAAGAAAAGATTAGGCAGTTTGCTTCCATTATGATTTACAGCCTTGGAAACCCAATGGGGGTCACCGTGAGTCAGAATCAATGGCAGTGGGTTTATTCTATTTAAGACCCAAAGAAAAAACCTCCATCCCAATCGAGGGAATAACTCCTTCTCTTGATCAACTTAATTTTATAGACATTCTACACTATGAAAGTGACCAGATGCCCTTTTGTGTGGTGACTGATCAAATGATTAATCTCATTTTGTTGAAAACCAAATATCAAGGATATAAAACTCACATGAGTCTCATTCTTGGTTCCTTCTCATGTCTCTGTACTTTGTTTCCTTCTTATCCACTTCAAATGTATGGTATCCTGCCATATTTTTGTCAGTATAAACTACTTTACATACTTTAAAACAAACAAAGAAAAGAACAGGAAGGAGAGAGTGGTCCTTTACGGAAAACTGGTAACTGATAAATATAGATATTTGATCCTTCAAGGAGCACTGCTGATGCAGTCGTTTAGAGGTTGGCTGCTAACTTGAAGGTCAGCACTTAGAATGCAGGCGCTCCAGTGCTGCAGTGCCCAAGGCATATGACTGCTAGAGGGCTGGTGGTTCAAACCCACCAGCCACTCCGTGGTAGGAATATGAGGTAATTTACGTCCGTAATGCTTTACCGCCTCGGAAAACCAAATGGGGGTCACTTTGAGTTGGAATCAACTCAACGGCAATGAGTTTGGTTTTTTGAGCAGTTCCTCAGGAGAAAGATAAGGGAGTCTGCTTCCGGAAAGATTTATAGCCTTGGAAACCCTATGGGACAGTTCCACTCTGTCCCACAGGGTCACTATGAGTCAGAATCAACCAGATGGCAATGGTTTGGTTTTTGGTTTGATCCTTCAAGTTACTCTCTTTAGGATTTTAGATTAAGAAATCAACGTATACAAACACCACTGTATTAACTCATTCAGTCAAGAATCATCAAGAAACACTAAAACCTGTAAAAAGCTTCCTGGGAAACATGCAGTTTCAGAGATTCAAAACACAGTGCTTGTTAACTCACAAGAAGAAAAGCAGCTCATGAGAGAGAAATCTGGCAGGCACCACCTTGACCAAGCAATCAAAGTTCCAATCACCAATAATGGACAAACTGTCAGTATGCTTCCTGAGTTGAGGATACTAAATTGCCTGTGCCTTATTCCTAACCAAAATATTTAATAGAATCCAATCATGGGGGAGCAGTCAGTCAAAGTCACGTCAAAGGACATTCTACAAAACCACTAGACTGGTCTGTTAAGTCCATGTGACGAAGGACAAAAGTCCAACAAACAGAAACACAAATGGATTGTTTGCAACTTTCAAACAGGTTAGGGGTGAAGGAGGGAGGGAGGGGGTTGAGAGAGACAGAAATAAATATGTGCCAAATGTGAACAACTGTTGAGTCAGGTCAGGGTATGTGGGTGTTTACTATATTTTTCTATTGATTTGAATTTTTAAAATAGTGGGGCAGGAGAGAAAGTCTTTATGACTTAATAAAAGAGGGGGGTACTATGCTAAATTAAGAGACTTAAGGAATATAACCAGAGATGCTGTGGTTAAGGCAATGTACTGCTAACCAAAAGGTAGATGGTTCAAACCCACCAGCTGTTCCATGGGAGTTAGATGAGGCAATCTACTTCCATAAAGATTCAGGTCCTTGGAAGGCTGATGGGGGTTGCTATGAGTCAGAATCGACTCAATGGCAGTGGGTTTTTTGATTTTCAACCAAAGATGCCAGGCATACTCCTGGATTGGATATAGATTAAGTCAAGCTCATTAAAGGACTATTTTGGGTCCTCTCAGAGGAAAACTGAGTATGATTTGGGATGAGATTAGATGAAGTTTTACTGAAATGAAAGCAGGTTACCTAACAATGTGACCCTATTTTCTTTTAAACATAAAACAACTCACATAAAAGAACACACACTCTCTCTGACACACACACCCCTGTCACAGTCACATGATCTGTGGTGGGTGGGAACGTGATATATTCTAGTTTGGTTTGTCTGCATTTTCTACTATTCTATACAGGACATGTACTGCTTTCTACACTAAACAAAAATGATCATTTAAAATTAACACAAAAATGATTTTAATAAAAATTGAGAAAATATACTTAACGTTAGCTTCAAGTGAGGCACGACCACCGTGACTAGCAGCCACACCAACGCCTGGAGCCCGGCAACAACAGGAAACACAGAGACATCTGGGAGTCCAGGGACAATGTGCTCCCCCAATCCATCAACCCCTTCGGTTTATACGATCTTATTTCCCCACGGAAACAATGTCAATCTTTATGTGAAATATTACAGACGGCTGTCCACAAATTTCCATCATCCCAAGATCACGTTTTATTTTGAAACGGAAACCCAGGAAGTAAAGGGAAACTGTCCAAGGCACCCCAAGCACAGAGCAGGGCCCAGGCACGCAGGGTGCAGGGTCCTTTGTGCTTCGCGATAACGCTGAACCGGCTGCAGCAGACTCAAGACAGACCAGGAAGAAGGGCCTGGAGACCCGCTTCCACCATCAGCGGGTGTAACCCTACGGATTACAGCAGTCGCATCCATCCACAATCATGCGGATGGAGCACTTCCTTCCGTTGCGCATGGGGTCACCAGGAGTCGGGGTCAACTCCATAGCAGCTAACACCCTACTGAAAGCTAAGCGAAAGCTCCCTTTTCCCTTTCCTTGTTTAAACGTAACAGACTTTTGGATCTTCATTACGTGAAACCTGCAGGCTATCTGGGCCTCCTGTACTTCAAAGAGTAGGAAGGACCCTGACGAGGTGTAATTCAAGTTCTACCCAGGGCTACAGTGGGGGGCAGTCCCATTGGTTTGGGGGCAATACTGTGGACTGCCTCTACCTTGCTCTGTAAGGGCTGCAATCACCGGTTAGCTCACACTCACTCTGACATCACTACTCGAGGGAGTGTTAAACTGAGAACCAGACATTTCAGATAGAGGAGGAGGTTTGGAGAAAAACCAAGAATCTCATTATTTTGATCTTAAGTACGCTTCCTAAAGGATTTTTTCTTGTTTGTAATCACTATAAAACATGCATCTGTGACCAACTTTAGACTTTATAGATAAACAAAAAAGAAACATTACCATTCACATTAAACAGTGAGGCAAGTATTTAAAGAGAAAGAAAACTTCAGATATACATGATTTTCCTGTCCAGAATGTCTGTAACCTTTCTTCTACATTTTACATCATGAACGTTCTCTTCCCATTATTTTTTTTAAAAGCATAAATAATCTGTAATGAGAAGAAAATCCTGTAAATTCTCACTTTTCCTATGATAAGCCATCTTCCCTATTATCAGTGATGTGTTTCCTTAGAGTTATATCTACTTTTGATCTGCTTCCAAAAGGTTCCAACCTTAGAAACCCATGTCTACCCTGCACACATTAAGCTGGGTCAGAATCAAGTCTAGGGCAACTAACGATTTTCATGAACTATTTCTTAAAATTCCTCCAATCATAAAAACATACTCACTAGAAAAGTTTCCACAAACATTTCTAATGCAACATAAGGAAACTTCTTTTTTAAAAGAATGGATTATGTAATTGGAAATCCACCAGAGAAAAAAGTCAAACTTCAATAGTACACTCTATTCTTGTACAACTTACTAGGAATGGATACAAATATAAATCAAATTTCTTGCCAGCAAGCATAAGATAAAAACACTCACTCACCTGCCTGGCATTAACCAGAAAATGCAGAGCCGTTTTGCTAGATAGTGGGGGAAAGCAGGTGTCAGACACACCACGCTCTTCCTCACTGTTTTTCTTCTATGCTCCAAAATCTGTATGTTTCAATTTGAAACTTAAAAAAAAAAAAAAATCTGGGATGAAAGGAATGTTTACATTAAAAACTAGGGTAACAAAGAGCCAACTGGAGGAACAACAGCATTTGATAGTTCCAGAACACCTCAGCCATATTCAGAGGTTATAGAGTAAGTGGTAAGTGGACTGTCCCCATTACACGAAGAAAAGTATGTAGGATCACAAGAAGCTTTAAAAGGTTAACTGGTCAACTAGTCTGTCATGTCTTTTGAGTCAAGTAATCGTAGGAGCTATTATTGTTACACAGGAGCTCTGGTAGCATAGTGGCTAAAGCACTTGACTGCTAACCAGAAGGCTGGCGGTTCAAACCCACCAGAGGAAGGTTGGGCAATCCTACTTCTGTAGTGATACTGCCTCGGAAACCCAAGGAGGGGTCACTACGGTACATAACATAACATTATTGTCACAATACTTTCACAGTACTTCCAGACACAGGCCGTGCCAGGCCAGATGGCGCCTTTGTACGGCATGCACAAGGCTGGGCAAGCGGAGCTCCGCCAGCTTTCAGATCCTACACGGAGGACCCGCTTCCAGCACATCCTGAAGCTGTCCCCTAAGGTCCCGGGGACTACAGGGCAGTCTACTAAAGCACTCAGCGCGGCAGCCAAGTATGTTTACAACTAGGCGCACCAACATAAAAGCAAACTTTCACTGCGCACGCAAACATTGGAAGCGTGCGTCCTGCGAGCCTCCGACCACGTGCTTGGAACTCCCCTGGACACCTCGATGTTGTTTTTCTTTAGGGTCTACACATGCCCCACGCGGCGGCCCAAGCAGCGAGCCCTTGGCCATCCCCATCCCGCTCCGCTCACCGCCAGCTCTCTAGTTGGTGGCACCTTGTTGCCTGTAGAAATCTTACTCATTTTTGATGCCTGTATCGTTTTCTACCCATTCTCCCGCCTACCTCCCGGGCATAATTTCATCCTTTATGTTAAATATCACAAAAGGGTATTCTTCCTTGGTGACTCTAGTCCTCGCAATCTATCCCAAACCTGCTCCCGCTTTCAAGGCGTGATACACACCCACCTCACCTCAATGTCTTTCCTTCTCGCTCCAAAACCAGTGTTTTGATTTGAGACAATGCCCCACCCCGCCAAGGCCAGAAACAACATGCGCCTTGGGGCCCCCTCGCAAGTCCCGATAGACGAAGCGTCCTGAGGAGAAGGTTTGGGGCACATCGTCCTGGGTTCTGAGGCCAGTACTCAGTAGCCCGCAGTCGGTGCCAGTGCTGTTGAGAATACAAACGTGTTCGGGAGAGGGGGAAGGGGTACCAGGGCTTTTATTACTCGAGCCGGTGTCAGCCCGCCTCTGCCATCGCTTCGCTGCGGAGCCGGCCTACAGCTTTCTCCCGCCTCCCTGCAGGCTCATTAGAGAAAAAAGAAGAAAAAGAAAAATAAGGGCCCCTCACATCCCTGTTTGCACAGCAGCAGAGAAAATAGCTCCCTGCCCGGGACTGCCCCCGTGAGGAACAGCCGCTGGAGGGCGCGCACTACTCACAGCACAGGTTACTCCACCAGGGCATGGCTGAGGCCAAGAGCCGGCAAGGGCAGCCCTATGGAGGCCCGAGAGGCCCAACCTTGTGTTCCCAGCTGCCCCATCGCTAGATGGAGACTGGCCAATGAAACGCTGACGAGAGCGCCCTCTGGGGGCCACTGTTCGCGTCACAGAGGGCGCCGCCTCTCTACGTGCCCCTGCACGTCAGGCCCTCTGGGTTTCAAGCCAATGGAGTTCCGCCTAGAAACTCAAGCCGACTATACGCCAAGAACCAATTCTGGCTATTGCTGTTGAGGTCACTGGCTGCTTCTCTTTCATGTACACTACATTGAGGGGTACACGCTAAAACTAGCATTGCCTGGCAACTGGCAAAGACATGGCAGGAACCAGTGTATGGGATTTTGTGTTTTCTTAGAACTTCCTGAGTGTTGGAACAAGAACTATAGAACTTCCTGAGTGTTGGAACAAGAACTAATAGCACTGGGGCATGTTACGTCACAAAGCTACCATCTATAGTCACAGAGGCATAGAGCTCGCTGGCCCCTCCAACTGGTTTACAGGGGATAAAGTGATTTCAAAAATGGCTTTATGACTTGGCCAGGGCTACATAGTGGGCGTGGAGGGTTTCTAGAGGACCCAAAGCTGCCTGGCTGGTGCTTGGTGTCATTGTACTACATAGGAATAAAAACGAAAATGTCTTTTTCAAAGAAAAGTCAATTCCATACCTGTCCAAAGCCAAAAATTCTAATTTTCCAATAATCATGATAATTTTACAACTCATAAGTGCCACTTATGAGAAGAACAAGTATTTCAACATGTTGACTCCCACACTTGGATGGAAAAATTGCTACATGTCTGATGTAGACAGCAATTTAGCTTCTATTTCAGTGTGAAAAGCAAAGTTTTTCATGGCTATAGCTACACTTTTAAAAAAGGAAGAATGCATACATGCCAGCCACCCACTGTCAGATGGTCTGAGTCCAGAGATCACCTGACAGGCCCATCAATTTGCAGCGATCCTGGTCAAGGCTGGAGAAGGCAAGCTTCAACAAGTGCTAAATGGAGCCCCATGAAGGGCATGGTCTTAGAGCGACTGCTTATTAGTTGTAGGGGAGATAAAAAAATTGATGGGAGTAGAGAAATCAGGCAACAATTTAACATCAACCTATGAGAAACAGATGGACACTGTGTGTAATACCCTGAGACAGATACAACACCTGTCTGAAACTGATGTTTCTAGCTGAAAATGCATAACCTAAATTTCACAGGAAACATCAGACACAAAATAAGGAATGTGGTTGTAATGGGGAGAGAACTAAATGCTTCAAACAAGTCCATGTCAACAAGATAAAGGCTGAAGATATGTGTCAGATTAAAGGAAGCTGAGCAACATAAAGGAGCCCTGGTGGCGCAGTGGTTAAAGGGCTCGGCTGCGAATCAGGAAGTCTGCAGTTTGAACCCACCAGCCACTCCATGGGAGAAAGATATAGCAGTCTCTTTCCTTAGAGATTGCAGCCTTGGGGAACCTATGGAACAGCTCCTCTCTGTCCTATAGGATCACTCACTATGAGTAGGAATTGACCCGATGGCAGTGGGTCTGGAGTTTTTAAAGAGACACTAGATTGGATTGTGTAAAGCAGGGGAATGCTGTAAAGGGCATGATCATGTCAACTGGCAAAACTAGAATACAGGTGGTAGATTATCTAAGTATTTTAACACTGTGACTTCATGAGATCATGACTATATTGTGGTTAAGAATGAGAACATCTGTATTCTTAGGAAATACAAATAAACCATTGCGGGTAGAGGACTATGATGTACAGGTCTGTGTTGCTTAATGTGCACAACACATTCTATGAAATAGGCCATTGTGTGATTTGGACGTTGTGCGAACACCATATTAAAACCTTATGGGAGCCTGCTTCCGGTTGTCCTCATTGTCACTGCTGCTGCTGCTGGAGCTGCCGGCAGAGGTCCGAGGAATGGGTGCCAGCTGCTGTGCTGGCTGAGAGGGCAGAGGCGGGAACAGAGCGAGAGGAAGCCAGTGAGGAGGGGGCAGATCGCACCCAGCTCTGTCCGATGTCCCGCCTACCTGAGCAGCGGGAGCAGCCCAGGCCCAGCACCCCCTGCCATCCCCACCCACCTGCCCACCAGTCAAAGCCCAAGAGCCCAAGCCCAGAGCCCTGTCCTCTGTCTCACCTGTCCGTATCCCACCCATACTCCAGTGCTGCCAAAGGTCTTTAAAACCATGAGGGGGAAATAATAATTAAAAAAAGGAGAATTGCTTTCCCTTCAAAAGAAAAATACAACCTTATGGGAGCACAGACATATATATGCAGTGGTCATTGTCTGAACAGTCGTTAAGCGACAACACATACCTGTAGATAATTTACCCTCATAAGGTTCAGAAAATTTCGTAGTTTATGCCTGTATGTGATGTGGCAGGATCCTGTGTGCTGGTTCTTGGTTTGTTTTATTTTCCAACAGAGAGAGAGAGCTCGACCAAGAGCATCTCAGGAGACCCTCTCATGAGAGCAAAGAACAAAGCCAGTGAGTGGGTAGTCTCCGTAGCAAGGGTCGTCTGGCTATTCCAGTGACTATTTTTATTTTTACAACTTTCTGTTAAGTTTTAATTTTTTTAAAATCACTCAGAAGAATAAACAAATGCAGACCGTTAATAGAAATACAGAAAACAACACAAATGGAGTGATGACTCACTGTTGTAGATTGAATTGTGTCCCCTCAAAATGAAACCAACACCCACTAACATCGAGTTGATTCCAAGCATAGTGACTCCATCAGGTTTCCAAAGCTGTAAATCTTTATGAAGTAGATTGCCTCGTATTCCTCCCATAGATTTGAACTGCTTACCTTTTGGTTAGTAGCCCAAAGCCTTAACCACGGGCGCCTCTCAAGCTCCCCCCCACCCCCAAATAGGTACTGTAAATTCTAATCTCTCTGCCTGTGGCTATAACCCCATTTGGGAACAAGCTGTCTTTGCTATGTTAGAAACAGGATTAGTGTAGGGTGCATTTTGAGTCAATCTCTTGAAATCTCAAGAGATTGAGGAAGTGGGGGTGGGGGAGAAGAGATGTTGAGCCCCATGGAGGTCTCCAAGGAACCAGGAGACAGAAGTGGAAGAGACCAACCCCTTTCCGCAGAGCGCACAGAGAGAACACGCCTTCGCCTCAAGCAGGCACCCTGAATGTGGACTCCTAGTCTCCTACACTGTGAGAGAATAAACGTGTTTGTTAAAGCCACCCACTTGTGTATTTGTGTTACAACAACAGTGGATAATTAAGACACTCACTCTCCTTATTTTTAAAGAACACTACATCTTGGCCTCTCATCACATACCAGAATATAAATTTTGTTTATGTATCAAACAATAGAGAAAGTAGTTCCCCCAACAAACAACCAGAAAAAAAAAAGAGTTCAGGTAGAAGAGAAGATGACGAGCAGTGGTTTTGGGGACAGATGTGTGTTCAGATTTTTGCCATGCCACTTACCAGCTCTGGGCCCTCAGCAAGTCACCTAAAGTTTCTGTGCTTACCGTTGTCACTTGTGACACAGGTACCAGCAGCACTTCCTGCAAAGGCTTGCTGTCGTTATGTGCTGTCGAGTCGAACCGACTCATTGCGACCCCTCCTTGGGTTTCCAAGGCGGTATCACTATAGACGTAGATTGCCCAACCTTCCTTCGGAGGAGTGGCTGGTGGGTTTGAACCACCAGCCTTCTGGTTAGCAGTCAACTGCTTTAGGCACTATGTTACCAGGCTAGTTATAAGGATTATGCTGTTTTTACCAGAGGTCTAAGAGGCTATCTCTCTATCTATAGTAATGATACAAACTCGAATCACCTTTTTACTTCCTGGTTTTTCAGAACAGAACTATTTTACTATTAATGACTTTAACGAATTCCAAAAGGAATCTGTCTAAATTGTAGAAGTTTAAAAACAGATAAAACAAGAGAAAAAGATGCATAATGACCATGTCCAGAGGTAATAACTATTAATTGTGAGTGTTTCATTCTGGATAGTTTAGTCAATAGTCTTCAACACTTGAGGCAGTAACTGTGTAATTTATTTGTCCTCCTGTGGTTAGACAATTTATGTTGCTTCTGATTTCTCATCCTCACACTGTGCCATAAACATTCACAGGTATAAAATCATTGTCCTCATCCAAGAACAATGGGATTTCAAACAGAAGAGGGCAGTGTTGAACAGCTTTCAGCTCTGCCGACCCCTAAGCCTCCGTCCCTGGAACCTCCTGGCCTCCGGAAGCAGACGACGACGGCTGCAGAAATCCACCCATGCTGAAAGTTTGGATGCACTTCCAAATTCTGTCACTTTGGATACCACACCGCAGTCTACTTTGACCCTTCTTACCTCCAAACATTTAAGGGAAAAAATGGGGCACCTACATCTTGAGTTCGCTCTCCCCTATCTTGTCCAGTTTTCTTTACTTGCACCAAGTAAGGGTGAAATGTGTCCGCAGCCCTGCTTTCTGGATCCATCTCCTCACTGTCTCTGCTTTCCCAGCTGCACACAGTTCATGATCACACCGCATTGCCCAGAATCTGGCTGAAGATGAAGATCTGGAGCCTCGACCGTCATTATCCTTCCTCCATGTCCCAGGCTCTGGTTAGCAGAACCATTTTAAAAGGCGTCATCACATGTTCCCAACATGCTTCCTCCACCGTCTGTCCGTTTGCTGTGAGGCTGGAAGCTATGCCATTGGTATTTCAAATACCAACAGGGTCACCCCTGGTGGGCGGATCTCAGCGAGACTTCCAAACTAACAGACTAAGGAGGATTGGTATCTGACTTCTGAAATTTAACACATGAAAACCCCATAAACCACAACAGAATATTTTCTGGTACGTGCTGGAAGGTGGGCCTCGTAGGCCAGAAGGAACTCTGAAATACACAGCAGCTGCAACAATGGATGTGCGCAAAGCAAAGACCGGGCAGATGGCGCAGGCTTGGGCATCGCTGTTGTCTGTGGGGTCAGGAGCCGGAGCTGATTCAACAGGTAACAAATATGCTTATTTCTGATGTCAGACTAGAGAAAGCTGCTTTTGAGTGAGAAAGATTATAGCTCGGTGAGCAACCAGGGAGAATAAAATGCACTAAGGAACAGCCTGAAAGAAGGTGTGTGGGTGGCAGGGAGGAGAGACTCAAGCCAGCAGATGTGGCTGTGGGAAGCAAAGGGTGATTAGGTGATTACCTAGAGAGGGGCCTATGACAATAACAGAAAGGGCTTCTAGGGAGAGTCAACTGTTAATCTTCGCATAGTAGAGTCCATGTGTTGTGTGGTACATTTTTTGTGCTGACATGTTTTTCAACATCAACCATGAGCAGAAGCAATGTCATACATGTCTTGTGTCTTAAAAGAAGAGACCAAATTCCTACGCTTTTTCTGGATGGACACACTAATCCTATGCTTGTGGGCCAGAGTGTTAACCAAAACCAGAAACCAGTTGCCATAAAGTCAATCCTGAGTCCTGGCAACCCCCTGGGTGTCAGACTGGAACTGTGCTCCCTAGGATTTTCAAGGATCGGGATCAGGATCTTTTGGAAATAGATCTCCAGGAATTTCCTCCAAAGTGCCTCTGGGTGAACTCAACCTTCCAACCTTCTGGTTAGCAGCCAAAAACATTAACTTTGCACAGGACTCCAAAACAACACCTACAAACATTTAATTACTAAGTTTACTATTTAATGACTTGAAAACTTCCACTGCTATAATTTTTGACACATCAGACTTATTGGCATTTGACTGTTAACCAGAAGGCTGGCGGTTCAAACCTACCAGCCACTCCTCAGAAGGAAAATTGGGCAATCTATTTCTGTAGTGATATTGTCTTGGAAACCCAAGGAGGGGTCCCTTTGAATCAGAACTGACTCAATGACAGTGAGTTTGGGGTTTTTTTGGGTAGGAAGAGAAAAATGAATTTTAAAAACCAAAACCAAAACCTTGATCACCTCAGCATCACTGGTTTGGGAATATAATTTCTTGCATCTGAAAAGTCCTTCCACGTAAACTATGGGTTTTACAGTGGCCGGTTCAGATATAAAGCTTTATCCTAAGGTGCAACTATGGGTTATCCAGCCATTCTGAAGAACACTGCATTAATCCAGCAAGGCTCTCAAGTGCCCAGGAAGTCCCAACCCACTGGTCTCTTAGTCACTGATGACAGCCCACAATCCCGTTAAGGATCAAAGATGGCCACGTTTTGGAAAGGGAGTGGTCAGGGAGGCCTCTAGGTGGCAGAACTGGCAGCTGCTCACATACGCATCTATGGTCTGTCAGTCACTGGTCCTCTCCCCGCCCCCAAACACACACAAAAAGGAGCCAAACCACTTGTGTAGACTCAACTCCAACTCCTGGCAACCCCATGTGTCAGAATAGAACTGTGCTCCCTAGGGTTTTCTATGGTTGTGAACTTTTGTGAGTAGGTTGCCTGACCTTTCTTCCGAGGCTCATGTCTCTGGGTGGATTCAAACAGCCAACCTTTTAACCAAAAGGTTAAAAGTAACCAAGGCACACTTAATCATTAGTGCTGCCCACGGACTCCCTCTCCCCACTCCATAGGTACTTAAAGACTACAATTTCTTCTACAAAGCCGTCTGCACTCCCCTAACACCGTGTTACGGGGTACACATCTCACGTTGACATGTTTTTCTACATCGAGCAGTACTGGCAACAGCATCATACGGGCCATGCTTCTTGAAACACTTGACCACAGAGATCAAATTACCACCCTTGTATTGGGTGGAGACACTAATCCTATGTGTGCCTGAAAAGGAGCTGATATGTTGAAAATATTGGTAATTGGTAAAGAAAAAGAAATGATTTAAAGAATGATGGAGAAAAGAGTTTTCACTCACTTAATTTTCTGACTATTCCCTAGGGAGAGGGTGTAAATACTGTGCGTCGACAGAGCACACGCCAGCGGTAAGGATGCAGGCTGGACAGGGATGAAGTCACCGGTAATAGCCAC